TCTCTTCATTTTTGTAATGATGAGAGAGAGAGGGAGGGACATTGAAGGACAGGGAGAGATTCCTTCACACGATCATAAATATTTGTCTTGTTTTACTGTACTTAAAGTATTAATATCTAAGCACTGTAAACAATAATAAGTTAACTGATTGAAGAAATTCACATTTTGTACTTTGAGCTTTGCAAAAAATTGAGCCCCACCCAATTTTTATATCACGTGATCCAGTTTGGGGTAGGTGGCCACTGGCCAGCAAGCAGCTAGGAGCTGCTTGCAATGGCTAGTTCTAAAAATAAAGATAGTATCTCTACTCCAAGTAAGTCCTAATGTTACTATTCCAGTATCATGTACTGTCAATCATTGATATATAGATCAACTGAAGAGAAGAGCCTTTCACCGCACTGTATCAGTAGGTGATTCACTGTATGTGTGGGCTGGTGAACAGGATGGTTTACCTGGAGTACATGATAGTGAAGAGATGAGAAGGATCACTAGTAATATACAGCACTTTACTCCTTCAACTGGTCAATGGATCACTAGAGCTACTACTGGTACTCCTCCATTAGCAGTGAATTCATACCGCTGCACTGCAATAAATGATCAATTGTATTATTTCGGGGGCTATTGTGGCCATGATTTCTGCTATCACAACAGTATTACACAACTGGATACCGTTAGTCTTCAATGGAGAGAATTAGAACCAACTGATGCAACTAGACCAGTTATGAGGAGAGGTGGTGGTGGAATGATATCATTTGAACATGATGGAGTACACCATTTACTAATGATAGGAGGAGCAGGATCTAAACCAGCTGTACAACTACCTCATCATAAATATATTGAGGTATATAATGGAGCATGGCGTACTAATGAGCACTCAATGTATAATCTATCATCAAGTAAGATTTTATATTACTGTTTGAAATTATGTTAATAATAATAATTTAGGAAAATGGAGTAATCCTTCAATCATTGGTCAGTGTATACCACCTGCTAGTAGCTTTATCATTGAAAAGATCAACAACACTAGAGCTGTTCTGTTTGGTGGAGTAGAGACTGATGATGATGCTAAGAATACTGCTACTAACAATATTAATATATTAGAGATATCAATCAGCACTGTGGTATGTTAAATTATGTGTACTGAATGTATGCACACACACACACACACACACACACACACACACACACACACACACACACACACACACACACACACACACACACTAGTGTCATTGTTAATGGGTGTGGTTATTTTATTATTTTATTTTATTTATTGTGGTGTGGCGTTTCCGATCCATTTCCTTGCTCTACTGTCCATTTTGTGATGGCAGCAAAGAAAGATAGGAGTCATGAAGAATTTACAATCAAAAATTAACTGTATAATCAAAGTATATGTAGCATACAGTGTCCTTTATATGTAACATAAACTATAACTGTGTTCATAGGAGTAGTTAACATAGAGTTCAGTTCCACAAACACCTTATCAGTTAAACCAATAGCTGAGTGAGGTTCAGGCAGTGTGGGGAGAGTTGGAGCTCCATAAAAGATTCTTTAACCCGCCATTTCTGGTTCTCAAGGCCAGGCTGCCTGTCCCTTGCCCATAAGCATTTTCAAATAGAAGGGAAACCCCATATTCTGTTAATTTCGACTCTTAAGTCAATGGATGTATTAAGCTTTGAAGATTCCAGTACTTCCAATTGAGGTGCAAGCCCAGCGCTAGGCTACGGTTATGGTAGCTGGGTCCTGAGACATAACCTGGAGGGTTAGGTCGAAACAGAAACACACACACACACTAGTGTCATTGTTAATGGGTGTGGTTATTTTATTTATTAGTTCTGGCAGTGTATAAAGAAACCTGAAGCAATAGACCAATGGCCTGTGGGTAGATGCTATCATGCAGGTGCTATTATTATAACTGGATCAGACTGTCCTATGCTAGTGATAAGTGGTGGGAGGAATAAGAAGAATGAAGATGCATTAGATGATTGTTGGATCTTTAACATCACTCAACATTCCTGGATAAAGGTATGTTAGATATTATTAATAGAGCTGTTGCACGGAAGTAATCAACGGGAGGGTGCGGCTAAAATTGAGCTAAATTGTCCGCCATGTTGGGTGGCAAGAAGGCCAAGAATGAATGGGGGAATGGAGAAAAAAATTTAAATAAATTCTGCAGTTGACATTCCAGGCTAATGCAAGGTAGGAGATGAAGATATTGAGTAAAGAAGTCTCTATAATATTCTGCAGCGAAGTATGATATCTCTTTGATGAAAAATCGCAGTTTGTTTCAATTTCTCCATTCGTTGCGTGTACATTCTTGCCACTCAAGATGGCTGACAGGAAGCTCTGCCTACCCCGTTGATTACATCCATGCAACAGCTCTATAATTGATCTGTACAGTGAGATACATGTAAATTATTAATTTATTTCTATTAACAGTTAGATGTATCTCACTCTGTTAGTAAAAGATTTGTTCATTCTCTCTCAGTGTTCATTATGAGTCCTCATTGTGTCTGGATAATAACCGTTGGAGGTTATGCTGATACCAAATGGACATTAGTCACTAATCCTAACATTGTTATGTTAACTGAACTAGGTCAGTGTATTAGCCACACCCACCAATTAATACTATTAATTACCTAATTATAATTATTTCCTTTGACGTACTTTAATGTTGCATTAGATCCACATCCTCTAATTAAAATTATTATTAATATTGTATTTTAGTTACTAACAGTAAAGGAGAGTGGACAGTAGGTGATACATTAGATACCAATGGTATGAATAATGAAGAATACAAGAAGAAGTATCAGCAGCAACTACAGACAGTAAGAAGAATATGGTTGGAGGAGTACCAGAAACCAAGAAAAGGAGATACAGCCGATATTGAGCAAACCATACAAGCTCTTATGAAGAGTCTTGAAGAGAAGGAGAGAGAAGCACAAGTTTATCATCAACAATTGGAGCAGAAGGAAAGAGAAGAAGCAGAGAAAGAGCAAGAAATAAGAAGATATTGTCATCAGCTACAAGAGAAGGATAGGGAGCATCAGGTGGTACTGCAGGAGAAGGATCTATTGATACAACAGAAGGATGAAGAGCATCAGAAGGTAATAGAGGAGAAGGATAGGGAGCTACAGGAGAAAGAGGAGACATTACAACAGAAAGATATGCAGCATCAGGTGTTACTACAGGAGAATCAGGAGGAATTACGACAGAAGGATAGGGAGCTTCAGGAGAATCAAGCAACATTACGACAAAAGGATATTGTGATACTTGAGAAGGATAGGGAGCTACGTC